CCGCTGGCGTGTGACGCCGGGGAGGCGTCAGGGAGCGGCGTGAGCCGCTCAAAAAGCCGAGAAGGCGGCGGCGTTTCCGTTACTCCCCGCGGCGCAACCGCCTGGGGCGGGCAGAAGCACGCGCTTCTTGCTCGAGTAACAACTGTGGGTGGCTGAGGGGGAAGGAACAGGTATTTATTTCTGCGTGGTGTTACCGGTGCCGGCTTCGGGAGGAGCGCCGCGGGATCCCGAGGGCCGAGCCTGCCGCCGGGGTTCGGGGAGGAGCCGCGAGGCGTTTGCCTTGGGGAAAGAAAAAATGAAGGTAGGGGAGTATTTTTAGGCGTGTTCAGTGTAAAGGTTTAGAGTGCAGCCGTTTGACGTGGAGGAAGGAAGAATGCTGTGACGCTGAGGTGTACAGAAGTTAGAAAACCTACCGCCCTTACGACAGTGAGATTTGGAAAAGGGGTGTCGGGCTGCCCGTCTCCAGGCGACTCTCGGTGAAGCTCCGGGGGAATGCTTTCAAGGCGCGCAGCTAGCAGCGTCATGCCCAAGTTTGCGCTGGGTTAGTTTAGGTTGAAGCAGCAGCCCTCTGCACCCGGTGGCCGTTTCCTGCGAATACCGCTTAGTGCAGTAAAAGCTGTTACTTGCGGCCCCCGGAGGTGTGCAGTTACAAGGGACACTCGCTAGCGCTGCAGGAGGGTAACGCAGCAGCCTCTTGGAAAGCTGCCTTGGGCTAATTAAGCAGGGGAATTGAAAATTAAATAAATAATGTGTATTTGGACCCTCAGTACGGGGAAAGGATTAAAACCGCTGATAATGCACGTTTGTGAGTTGGGTGTTTTTTTTTTTAGCGTTGAAAGCTCTAGATCCAGAATTTTACCCAAAATGTATGTGTGCAAAAACTATTGTGCCATTATCTTTATGGAAATTCTGCCAATGAATTTAGTTATTTTTTCTACTAAGATTTTTAAACTGTGTGCTCTTGAGAAGCTTAAATTTTTGTCATAACAATCCAAGAAAGGTTTTGGGGTTTTTTGGGTTTGTTTTTACTAGGCAAAAATAAGTCCAGCAAAAATGTAATGGCTTTTTGGTTTTGGAAAAAAAAAAAGGTAAAAATGTATTTGTCTAGTCATGAGTATTAAGTGTAAAAGCTGCTCAGCTGGGAAATAGATCTTGTTACCATAAGAGCTGCTCATCTGGAAAATAGATTTTGTTACTGTTTTAGTGCAGAAAATAGACCTGCCATTCTGAATGATTTTTAGTGTGCCTGAGCAGTAAATAACAATATGAAATGAATTACATAATTTGTCTATTTTGTTTCCTTAAAAAATTGTCTAAGCAAATATTTCTAATTATTTCCTAATATTTTTCCTTATGTCCAAATATTTGCCAATGATATTTTAGGAAACAGAAGGGAAATTCTTGTGTTATCTCAGGTACACTGCTTTTCCTTCCACTCAGAAGAGACAGACTCATTTTTAGAGGGAGATGCTTCTGTGGGTGTGTTTTGGGTTTTGCATGTTCTCTTGCCTGAAATATTTGAGAGTGTGGGTAAGACTTTCTTCTCTTGAAAATCACCGGTGTTTTCAGTGTATGGTGAACTCTAAGTAAGGATGTGTTTTGCTGTCTTAAGGTTTCTTATTATTGTTCCGGCATTGTTTTTACTTTTATTGTCTAAGGAGAGTTTGGTTGGGGTGTTTTGTTTCTTTTTTTTTTTCCTCTTCCTATTCATGCTTTCAGTCTCGGCAGTCTCTTTGCAGCATCCAGGTATTTTTTTGGTTCGTACAGTCTGTGTAGCTCCCAAAGCTTTATATTGGATGTGCTTCAACTTCTTGGTTTAGTACCTAAAATCTGCATTATACAGACGATAATTTACATGCCTTTCTCTGTGTTGGGAAATGACTGTTCTACTTTCTGACACTGGACTCGGGTCAGTGCTGTTGAGGTCAACTGTGATATTTGTGTAAATGTTTTACTATCTTGTTGAACTCAGTTAACTTTCAACTTCTTGAAATTCACCCCATGTAATTATCTGAGCATGTTTCGCTGCTCGTATTGAGCAATGACAAACTCCAATTTGAATAAAGCAACTCGACTGATATTTTATGTGCCTCCATGACCTTATAATTTGCCTGATACGTAGTCTGCTCATATTAGCTGAAAGCAAAGGTGAAGAAAAGAAGTGCAGGCGCAGTGTCTCTTGTCGCAGCGCTCCGAAGTGGTTTTCATTTAGGAATCTCTGAAGTGGAATAGTTGTTGCTTCCATCCTGCTTCAGGTGTGTGCCTAACACATTCACAATTTATGTTATTACTGCTCATTTATAAAGGCAGTAACTGGACCCTACTGATGGTGATCTGTGTGTTTTACCTGCCGGACTGCTTGTTTATATGAATGAACTTGTGCTCATATTACTGTTACCCTGTGTTCTCATTTCTATGTGTTGTTCATTTTATCCGTCTTGTTGTATTCTGATAGCAGCTAGGATTTTAAGTTGTTTGAGAGGGACTCTTGGAAATATTTTTCCTTCTTTGTAACTACTCTCTTGTCTATCTCCACCCTACATTTTTTCCTCCATTCTTTCTTCTGACCTTCTTTTTCCAAATTCCTTCTCCATCGCTATTTCTGTTATCCCTGCCAATTTCCCTCTCTTGTCTCCGATTTCTTACTCTCATCTATTTTTATACTTCTTGTCGTCGTTGTTTTGCTAGTGCGCTTGATTAGATAGTCTTCACCACTTGTCAAAGAGGCTCAGTGTGCTTTTTTCATTCTTAATGAGGGTAGATAGAAATAAAATCCTGAGGACTGGTTCGGGTTTTTTTCCCCCTCTACTTCTGAGGGTAAAGGTGGAAAGGAAAAAGGTCAGGGGAGAAGTAGAGAACGGAAAGTGTGACATGGTGGTGGATGTCTGAGAAGGGATAAAGAAGAAAAGCTTGGTGAGTCAAGTCAGTGTTTCATGGGAGGCTAAGGCTCATCCACTATTAGATCTGGCAAGAAGAGTATGTGTTAGTGATGGCAGTTGCTCAGATATTTTCGGATCATTGGAGATTCTAGGGCTTGCGTAAGTGTCACATGTGCCATTTGTAATAGGACTCTGGAGTTTGTTCTTAAGGCAGGTTCTTGGGTTGTGTTTGTGATTGTTCAGTGAGCAAAATCCTAACGTTGCCTGAGAATAACACCACCCCTCCTGACCAGCTGGAAGATAGTACTCATTAACGTGGCTTATGTTCTGTTAAAACGGCACAGCTTCTTGGATTTTCAGTAGACCTCCTTACTGTGATGAAGCAAACGTGGGTAATGCCAGCTGCATCTTAGTACAAATTCATAGCTATGAAGCTGCCAAACGGCTCAGCGCTTTTCATGAACTCCCTTCAGGATAGGACTTTTAAGTTGTTACAGGTTAAAACTAAGGTTTTACTCATTTCCACACAAAATGTGAATGCTTTAGAAACTATTACAGTTGGAGTTGATCTGAAACAGAGGGTGGCCAGGTCTATTGCCCACTTATGGAGTCATAAAGTCACTTCTTCCTCTTCTCAGAGTGTGCTTTTAAGGCAGAGTGGGTCAAGAGCTTGTGCCTCTGCGCTCAGTGCTCTGCATTTGCTAGGAATGGGAGGATACAAATAAAGGTGATTGATAGAAGACAGGCAAGGTTACCCTTCTGCAATGGGCTGTGTGTTTTGTTTGCCCTAGAGATAGCTGAACACAAGTGAGTTAGAGAGACACTCAAGGAATGACCCAGTGTTTACATAATTTACTGAGAATGGCTAAAAGTTAATCCCAGTTTGATGTAACTGGGGACAAAAATGAAGGATGGAAATAATAAAAGTCGTACAAGAGCTAGGTCTGGGATGAAGGGTGGTGGAGGATAAGTGAGTTCTTTGGGCATGAGAGAAAGGTGTGTGGAAACAGGATCACATGGAAAGGAAGTGTCAGGTTCACATAGGGAAGGAGAGAAGTTAGGATTAGGAATGAATAGTAGGATAGAGATGGTGAATAAAGATTTTGAGAGAATGAACATGGTGGGGCTGAGCAGATTGCTAAAAGAGAATCAAATGTAAGGGCTAGGGGTGGGTGAGGGTCTCGGGCAGATGGACAGGCGTATGAAGTAGAATATTGAGTGCTGTGGGCGGATGGATGTGTTACCAAGTGTCTGGAGACTGATAAGGAGCTGTTTGCACCTTCTGTATGCCAAGTGCTCTGTGTATATATTGATGCAGGCGATACTGCATATGGTGGGGCGTCCAGCCACGTGCTCTTTTCTGCTGTTAAAATGCAAATAGCAAAGATAGCTATGTATGATCGTCCTTGTTACCTGGGCACCTAATGCACTCTATCATTTCTGTGCCAATATCTTCCCTTTATTAACATTTCTTAGGACAAAATATATGCAAAGAGATACATGTTAACAGAGAGGAGGTTTAGGTCTTGCATCTTGATACCCAGTACTGCGTCACACAACTTTGGGGCCTTGGCTTACTGAAGCTGTGTAAGCAACCTCAGTGTTCAGAGCAACTGGTCTAGATGTGAGAGTGTGGTGGGATTTTGTTGCCTTTTTTTTTTTTTTTTTTTTTTTTTTAGTTCTGAAAATGAAAACTCGTGTCAGGAGAAAATGATGAAAAACCAAAATGAAGACAGAAAGGAAAAGTATGATAAGTATTGAGAGGCAGAGCCCAGGTGCACCTTACAGTTCAGTCCCTCTTGTGCAGCACAGGCTTTTCTTGGGGATGAGGATGTTGCTGGAAGGATGTGCCTTCACTCTATGTGCTGATGTTTCCCAGCAGCTGTTCTTAGCCTGAGTTGAAATTCTCTTTGTTTGTGACTCTGAATAACACTTGTGTTCTGCCACAGCGTCTCAAGTGTGTAAATGTTAGGGCAAAGCAGTTCTGCCCTGAGCTCCCCTTTGATGATGCTTCTTTTCAGATAACATTTGGTCTTTTTGGAGGTTCTGAAGACTCTAAATGTTGAAAACCTTCAAGCCAAATCACAGAAGAAAATTGTCTAAATAAAACCAAACTAGAAATACTGGGAAGCAAACTACTTTAACTCTTCTGCATTTTGGAAATGGAGAAACCTTTACACTGAAACAACAAATCGCTTAGATGCAGTTGTAGCACTAAGTGCAGTAAATCACATCTTTTGGATGAGGTGTTGAAAAGCATCTAAAGGGCAGAACATATGCGTACAGACTGATTTTTATTTCTTTTCTCTCTACAGACTTTTTAAGGACAGGGCTCTTGGTAATTTCCCATTCCTGCTTTTTTTCTGTACAGGACCTACTGCAGCTCTGTGATTGCTGATCCATGCTTGACTGCCTCAAAGGGTCCTGGCAAGATGGCATCTTCCAGACTTCCCATTCTTCTAGCATTGGCATTTTCCTCTTTGTCCTTTGTTCTTTCCCATTCAAACAGGGAGATGTGGTTTCAGGATTTCTTTCCACCTAACACGTGCCCTATAAATGCCAAAGCAAATACTTTTTATGGCATAATGTTTGATGCAGGAAGCACTGGAACCCGGATTCACATTTACACCTTTGTGCAGAAGAGCCCAGGTAAGACCCTGTGTCAGTCTGTGCACTTGGAGTATGTTGACTTAGGTTCCAACTTCCCAAAAGAGGTTTTTTCCCCCCAATAAAGCATTTAGGAACAGCTGAAGATTTCTACAGTTTGTCCTTCAAATGGTCCTCTGGCAGATAGTTATTGTCCATTTGTGGTGGCGTTTTGCTGTGAAAATATCTTTTTTGTAGATCTTTTGTAGAAACTCAGGGGTTCAATTCTGGGTGTACTGGAGAGTTCTGAATTTTCAAAGATTTTTATCTATGCGTCTGTTTAAAGGAATGTCTCATTGAGTTGGAAGGAGGCTTATGCTGTTTTTGTCAAGCTGCATATTACCTTGAATTATATCAACAGAAACTTAAATTCTGCATATGTTTATATGTCACATTTTGTAGCAAATTAAAGTCAGTAAATTAAAGAGTTATAAGCAGTGAAGATGCACCACACTCCAGTATACCTGGTTCTGACACAGTGCAGAGCTACCCAAGTTGGCTGCACATGCAACAGGATTCAAGAGGATGAATTAGCTTGAGTACAGTGAACCAGCAAAGGTTGGAGGCTGGTTGATGGGACTCGGCTAATAAGCCCATTAGGGCCACGCATTGTACCTATGTGGCTTCACATGATTACAACCTTAGTTTGGAAGGACTGGTACAACGTCCAGCTCTGATGGACTCTGCTTGACTTGTCACACACAATACTCAGGAACAGCTTCCGGACCTAAGCTGCTCTGGGAGCATTGGTCACACTTGTTTGGTTTTGCAGCCAAGTGCTGGAGCCCAGTCAGCTCTGTCCTGTGTTTGTGAGTTGGATGAATCACCTAAGAATAATCAGGAATTGACTGTGTGTGTCTTAATATGAATTAGTATTTCACAATTAGCTTGGGGACAGAAATGGAAAGAAATTTTATTAAGATTAGGCAACAGTCATGTTACATTGCTATAACTCATTGTTCATTTTGCATTTGTGAGCTACATACTTCTAATGATAATGTGTTCTTAATAAAATTGTGAACTTGGAGGATACAAGGACAACATTCTGTTAAATATATTCTTGAAGTGAAGGAGCCATGTTTGTTTTAGAAAGGGAATAGTATTGTTTGCAAGGGGAAATCAAGGATAGTCACTTTAGAGGGGTTGCAGGCAACCTTTTTGAAACTAAAGAAAAAGGTTTGAGTTGTTGAGTGTTTCTTGTAATGTTCCATTTGTGCAGAAAACCTTCCAGAGTTGGAAGGGGAAATCTTTGAGTCTGTGAAGCCCGGTCTTTCTGCGTATGCTGATCAGCCTGAAAAGGTAAGGCTTTCCTCCATTCCCTGTGAGCTGGTCTTGCTTCTACTAATAGCGGTTGGACTCTACCAAGCAGTTCAAGTATTACTAATTGTAATTGCAGAGAATCAAGAAAAAATGTAAAGGTTTCACTGCTGGCTCTTTAAACCTGTTGCTCTACTTCTGTGAGTTAATTTCTACCCAGTGAAATTAGAGCTGTTGTTTTACATATTTCATGAATGGAACAATGGCTTAATTAATTGCTTAAATGCTGTATAGAACTAGGCTATATGCCTCTGAGAATTTAAAAGACGAAGTGCTTTTTAGCTCTAGCAGCATCCATATTTCCCCTATAGCTACCGCAAATATGAGTAAATATGTACTCCTGACTTATTTGCTAATAATTTTCTCAGTTTTTCCTTTTGGTTGAAATTTTCAGTGCTGGTCACAGTTCAAAATGGGCATATTTTAGTAAGGGGTTAAGACTGTGGAGGTTTTCTTTTTTAGTCATGTTACGCTGACAAGCAAAGAGGGTTCATTTCTCTGACTCCTAAATATGTTTAAATTTTTTTGTGTGTTTAATCAGATCTACAAAAGTTAATTTTTGTTAATAAGTTATGGAGAAGGGAAGAATAAATATGCACTTAGCAGGTTAAGTCAGGCCTTAATATTTCTCCAAGTGTATTCTCTGCTTCTATCATCAGACATCCAACAATTTGTTTGTTATGATTCTTTGCCATTGTCTTTGGAACCATGGCTTGTAAGCCAGTGCTCAGTGATACACAGGACTCGCTTCAGTCATGCTCAGTTAAAATATTTGATTACAATTTCAGCTGAATAATGATATAGGTACAGGCAGTTACTCTGCTACTGCCTCAGGACTTTTATTGTTTTGTTTATGTACAGAATTTTTCAAAACACACTTGGACAGTTCCATCTTCCATAATCAGATGTAATAATTAACATATAAATCTATAATTTTAATAAGAAATTGAAGTTACCGGACATCCTCTTTGTTTTTAAATGGGGGTGGTTGTGAATTTGTGCAAGTACACTTGTTCCATGCAACTCTATTGGATCAGGAGTCAGAAACGAGCAACAGAGCAGAGAGCACTAAAATAATCCTGTTGTCATATACAGGACCAGTCCTGAAGTAAGCTGCCATTTTCCAGATCCCCTGTGCTGCCAGTAAGCTCTTTCACAGGCTAAAGGAGGTGCTAGAGAAATGACACATTAGATACTCTTATCTTGTGTGCTTTAGCAGTCTTGGAGTTGGGGGCTTGCACAAGTGGGAGTTTCAGGTTTCTCGGTTTGCTCAGTTGCATTCAGTGCTACAGGAATCTGAGTGAGAAACTTCATGGAAAAGTGAATGGCTTTTGTATTTTTTTTAAACTTTGATCAGATCTCCCATTATTTCACTAAATTGTTTTGTTTGTAGGGTAGAAGAGAAGAATTCACCCCAAAGTAAATTTCTAGACATTCCACAAGAGAATTTTTATTACTAATGCCAAACTGTAATTATTAGAGCAGTGTAAATAATTGAGCAGTGATGCCTGTACCTCATGTGGTAGCCATTCTACAGCTGGCATTTTAATTACGCTACTTGCTCTGGACACACTTGGAATTCTTAAATTGCATTTAGTGAAATCTACAGACATTCCTCCTGACCTTTGCAGCTTCAGTCAGTAATTGTACCATTTAGTTTCATCATACTGCAAGATGTCTAGGTTTGTCAGACTCTCAGTTCCCTCTCCTTCCTCCATCCTTTCAAATAATACTCCGCACAAACAATGACATTTCTCTCGCCTAAGATATAACTCTGAATACTCTTGTCCTTCCAATGCAGATGTTCTCTCTAAGGTTCTTACGAGATTTCTGGCATGGCTTTTATCCTTATCTTGGGTGTGGGTGAGGTATCTTCTGCTGCTGAATACTGGTTTCACTAGTGTTGAAGGGGAATTGAGAGGCCTATTTTCTGATGGCTTGTAGGAGGAAACAATAAGAAAAAACAACATCTTTTTCTTTTTAGGGTGCTGAAACTGTCAAAAGATTGCTGGACATGGCCATAGATGCTGTGCCACCTCAGCTCTGGAAGAAGACCCCAGTAGTGTTAAAAGCTACAGCTGGACTGCGCTTGCTATCGGAGGAGAAAGCTCAGGCTCTGCTTTTAGAGGTAATACTAAGATCTTTTGGATGCACTAGTATTGCTCTCCTGTTTCATCTTTCAAGACTCAGTTCTCCATTCTATTTAGCATAAGAGAATGTCAGCTGTGAAAAGTGACTGTAATCCCATCATAATATGAAACTCACAGACTTTACGGACTTTCTTGTATGGTCCCAATATCCTCTGTCTCAGTGAGGGTAGAAGGCATTGGAAGAGACACTTACAATACTTCACTGTTTCCTGGCCACTCTTTCCTGGCCCTTGAAAAAAGAAGAAATATTTTGTCTACTCCACACACTTGTCTTATATTGTACTGCTGTGAAAAAGAAAACTTTCTCTGTCACCATCAGAGCAGAACAAGACTCTTAAGACTAAGAATCTAATGATTATTTCTTTCTTCAGGTGAGAGAAGTCTTTGAGGAATCACCATTTCTTGTTCCAGAGGACAGTGTTAGCATCATGGATGGATCTTATGAAGGTATGCTTTAGAAGGAGGAGAAAGTGAAAGCAAAGAGGAGTAGGGGAAAGAAAGAGAGAGATATCTTATGGACATGAGAGGGAAAGAAAAATCATCACAAAACTGAGGGGAGAAAATAAAAGGTTTCTAGCCCTGTTTGAGACAATTCAATCCTGCTTTTCCTAGGACATGTTGATTGCTTGGTCATCTGTTTGGCTACAAATGCAGATACACAAAGAGTTTTATGAGTTAGCTAGATGAAGGTTCATCCAAAACCTTCTCAGGTTCCAGAAGAGAACCTTCTCACAGAAGTAAGTATAGAGGCTGATGCAGGCTAAGCAGCTGAAGCGTGGTCTTGGGAATTGGTGGGAAAAAGATGGTGTCCACCTCTGAAAGGCTACCTGCCAATGTGTAGCAAGCTTATGGACAGTGCCTAGTAAATTCTGCAATATCAGCATTAAAAATAATCTTTCATGATTAGCTCATCAATTTTCAGGTTAAGATTGGAAGCATTGTGAGTATTAGAGAAGAATGAAGGCTAATTGGCAAGTATTAAAAAACAACAACAACAACCACACCCCCCAATAAATAATTAAATAATAAATTTAAAAAATATTCTGACTGGAAAAATGAAGCTGATAAAGTAGCAAAGGAAGTAACCTAAAATACGAGAAAAGGTGAAATATGTTGTAGGTTTGGACTGATGATTTTGCAGTGCAGAACAGATCACTCTAACCTTTTGGCTACATATCCAGACATACTGCCTTGCAGAATAGGCAGGTAATAATCCTTCTGTATGGATGCCTAATTAGAGCTGTCTGTGATGTTAACATTCAGTTCTGAACACTTCATTATGGCAGATATATTGCCAGTTTGGAAGGTGTTCAAGGAAAACAAGAAGAATTATCGTGACACTTAAACAAGTAACTCATGGAGGAAGATTAAAGGGCAAAATCTGTCTGTATGTGCCAAAAGAAAAGGAAAGGTAACATGAAGTCTGCAAGTACTCGATAAAGTACAGTGCAATGCACAGTACGTCACTAGGGTTAACAGGGGAATTGTATAGTAGGGAGAAGTGTTGTATTGGCAGGGAGCAGGAGCAATGAGGTGTAATAGAGCACAGTGTATCCTGCCAAGGCTTATTTAAAAGTCCCACCTCTTCTACTGTCATGTGTCTGCCTGTGTTTGGGTGAGAATCATGACCAGTGTCAATCAAGCAGCTGGAGTCAAAGAGGAGTTGTTTATGTTTTACTGGTTGCCACTATGTCTGTAGTATAATTACAGAAACCACGACATTAAAACACAGAGCAGTGTGTATGCAGTTTCCAGATTAGGAATTGAAATGCTGGGAGGCAAAAAAGTGCCCGAGGAAGCTTGTGCATTGTGTCAGCTCGTTACTACTTTGCATATTGTTTGGATAATAGGCATGATTTGTGCATGCTGCTGTTGCATATGTATTACAAATGTTCTACCTATCCTGGTTTATGAGAGTTTAATGAATCGATAATGCATCATGTCACTCAGTTATGAGTTTGAATTAATCTCTGAAGTATGGGGCATTTACGTTAAGTTAGTAATGATTTCCAGGTAAATAAATAATATGTGGAGGGGTGATAAGGGTGAGCAGGAGGTTGTGGAAGTCCTCAGTGGTGACTTTTTTTTTTTTCCTTTTTGCAGGAATTTTAGCCTGGATCACTGTGAACTTTTTGACAGGTAGTTAATTCTGTATAATTTCTCTCTATGCATGAACTTGAGTCTCTTCGGCAGAGATGATGACCCTAAGTTCCTTCGCCTTGGTTGCCATGTCCTGCTTTTCCTCCCCAGTGTGGCACCAGTGCTAACGCAGTGGATTGTCTTGGGCAGACTGTGTTCCAGAGGGTGAGCCACACCTGTAGTAAGAAGGAGGCATCTTAATGCAGAAGGTGCCAGCATTTACTCAGGACTGGGAGGCACTGGCAAGCTGGTTTCTGTAATGTACATAGGGGAGTCCTGCTGCTCATCTGTTAGAAGGTGGGAAACAAGGTTTTACAATGTTCTTCATCCCAGCATGAACTATGCAGCTAAAATGGTGTAACAGGGAATGCACTGGTGCTTTAGCCCTGCTGGGAATGCAATCTAGTGAAGAGAAAAGAAAATCAGTACTCCAGTAGATACATGAGCAAGCAAGCTGTTGCGGGTGAAGAGAAAATATAATAGCTGGTTCTGCTTTTACTATCCTTCCTCTCCTGCTGCTCTTGACCAGCTATATGGTGATTATAGAATTTATGTACCCTCCCTGACAGTCTTCTGCAGGAGATACTTTGTCTCTTACTTTTAGCTTTTGCTGGGTGCCAAGAGATTTATCTTATCTCTCTTAGGTATCTCTCTTTGGAGGTGAGATTGGAATCAAGGAAGAAACTCCTATGAATCTTTTCATAATACCTTCTGTTTGCCTACCTTTTCTCTGTAATGTTTTTTGTCTTTGAAGGGCAGTTCAGCCCTGCTGTATTGCTCTGATAATGTGATAACTTGGTGGCTGCCTGATCATGCGTGCAGTATTTTGCACTCGGGGCTGTTCTGAGCACGGTGTTGTTTGCAGGGCAGCTGTCTGGCCAGAACCAGCGTACTGTTGGGACTCTGGACTTGGGAGGAGCCTCAACCCAAATCACATTCCTGCCACGGTTTGAGGTGAGGAGTGGTTAGAAGTGTGCGGGTTGGGGCTGCAGGGCCAGTGGAGAGACCTGAGCACTGCTGTGCTCCCTGATATCATTTTGTCATCACTGGCACAAGCAGAACATCTGTGGTGTACAGAACATCTGTATTTCTGTTCTCTTTGACATCAGCAGTTGGCTGATAGGCACTTGCAAACAAAGGAGCCTGGATAACACGGAAGAAAAAAGAAAGCAAGCAAATGGGTAAAAACAAAGAGAAACAGTTTTGTTTTCTAGACCCAGGCTGGGAAAGCTCCACTAATGCAGACAATTATTTTGTATTCAATAAATGTAGAATATTTCCAGGGAGTATACTAGCAGATTACAAGAAATTTAGGATCTGCTCTGAGTTATATCCTCCCCCTCTCCCCTTCCCC